AAAAAAAAATTAATATTTAAAATATTAATTTAGAATAAGGGGTATTAGTTTAACTGGTAGAGCATTGACTTTGCAAGTCAATAGTCGGGATTCGAGTTCCCGATATTCCAATATTAATAAAAAAGAAAATTATAATCCTAATTAAATATTAATATTAATTTAACATTAAGTTAATGATTCGTATTAAAGGTTAATTACATACATTGCATTACATAGCTTAGGAAGCTCAATCGGTTGAGCGGATCACTGAAGATGATTAGGCTGTAAGTTCGAATCTTACTCTGAGCAATAGATATGTCGGAATTGGTAGACGAGCTTCGCTTAGGTTGGAGTGATTAGATATAAGTTCAAATCTTATTATCTATATATTTATTAAAATAATAATTTTTACTATCTATCTATATTAAACTAACATATATAAATATAGAAATATATATTTATATAGTGTGAAACTCAGATACTAATATTCTAAACATATTATCTTAAATTCTTAACTATCTAAATTAAATATGTTGTCGACTAATAGGTAAGTCATAAATTTTTGGTATTTACTATTGGGTGTTCGAGTCGCCCCAACATAATATATTAGCCAGGATAGTTTAACAGGTAGAACAATAATTTCATGAATTAAGAATGAGAATTCGAATTTCTCTCCCGGCTAAAAGATCATATGTAATAATAACATAAATATTCTTTATATATGTTATTATTTATTTAGGTGGGTGTAGTTCAATGGTAGAACAGCTATATGTGGCATAGTATATCCTAGTTCAATTCTAGGTACCCTCCCATGAATAACCTTGTTATGGATAATTTTAGGTTAGGAAGTATAGTTTATATGTTAAAACAACTATTATATAGTAGAATTTAGATCATACCTAAATACTTTCAAGATAATTTCATATTATTCATATAAAAGTCAAATTCGTTTTAACGAAGAAAGAAAAAACTTAGCTGTTTTTTTGTATAATCAGTTAACAAAATTTAATATTACATTTGGAAGAACTTTTTCAACATCAGTTAAAAAAGATAATATTGCTTCCTTAAATACTCAAGAAAGTTCATCATTTTTAACTTTAAAACAACCTACAGAATGACAAGAAAGATGATTTTTATCATCTAATGCTAAAGACATTGGTACTTTATATTTAATGTTTGCATTATTTTCAGGTTTATTAGGTACAGCATTTTCTGTACTTATTAGATTAGAATTATCTGGACCGGGTGTTCAATATATAGCGGATAATCAATTATACAATAGTATAATTACAGCTCACGCTATTTTGATGATTTTCTTTATGGTTATGCCTGCTTTAATAGGAGGTTTTGGTAATTTCTTATTACCATTATTAGTAGGAGGTCCTGATATGGCAAACAAAACAAAAGGATATCCTAGGGATTATATTATAAATAATAAATATTATAGTGTTAAATTTAATAATAAATTTAAAACATATTTAGCTGGTTTATTCGAAGGAAATGGTAATATTTGAATTAAAAATAACCATATGAAAAAGACTAGATTTTGTATAAATTTCAGTTTAAAAAATGAATTATTAGCTAAAAAATTATTAGAAATAATAGGATCAGGTTATATAATATATAAACCTAAAGATAATGCTTGTATTTTAGTTGTTTCACTTGTAGTAGGATTAAAGAAAATAGTTTCTTTAATAAATGGTGAATTAAGAACACCTAAAATACATAGTTTATTTAAATTGATCGATTGATTAAATAAAAATCATAGAACAAATATAAAAAAGTTACCTTTAAAAGAATCTTCTTTAGCTAATGATAGTTGATTAAGTGGATTTATTGATTCAAAAGGAAGTTTTTCAGTACAACATACTAAGATTGAAAATAATGCAAAAAAAAGAAAAATTTCTTGTAGATTAAGAATTGAGCAAATAATGCTAGATCCTGTAACTGGTTATAGTTATTTAAAAGTTTTAACAAATATAGCTAAATTTCTTAATTGTAATTTGTTAACTAGAAAACAAAAATCTACAGGTAACGAGTATTATATTATTACAGCATCTAGTAAAATATCTTTAGATATTTTAGTTAAATACTTAGAAGTTTATCCTATATATTCAAGTAAATATTTAGATTATAAAGATTGAAAGGAAATTGTACAATTGATATTTGAAAACAACCATTATACAGAAGAAGGTTTGAATATAACAGATTTAATAAGAAATAGAATGAACAAAAAAAGAATTAATTTTAATTGAGATCATTTGAATAAATTATTTGATTAAGTTTATAATTATTATTTATAATACAGTCCCTAAATTAGGGAATGCCGTTAAAAAGTGTAAACTTTTTAATTATTACTTCGCTATATGCATGGAACTTCTCGATTTTGGAATTAATTTTCCATTTAACAGATACATAGACACCTAATTGAAGTTCTAAACTTATAAAGTTGTATTTTCAACTGAATTAGTCGTAATACTTATGTATACATGGGAATAATATGCAGGAAACCAACAGATATAAACTTATTTATAATATCCTAGTAGGATCCTCAGAGACTACACGCGAAGCTCCATTATAATACATAATGGATGAAGACATAGTCCGTTTTAGTAAGAAATTACTAAAATTTTTTTTGATTTATTACTATATATATAGATATTTAAAGTGAATCATTAAAATGAAATAAAGTATAAATTACTTTATTACTAAATTTTTAAACAATAGTAAAAATAAAAATATAAAATTTTAAGATTCCCTAGATTAAATAATATAAGTTTTTGATTATTAGTACCTAGTTTATTATTATTTGTATTTTCTGCAATAATAGAAAATGGTGCGGGTACAGGTTGAACTTTATATCCTCCTTTATCAGGTATCCAATCTCACAGTGGACCTAGTGTTGATTTAGCAATATTTGGATTACACTTGAGTGGTATTAGTAGTTTATTAGGTGCAATGAATTTTATTACAACTATTTTAAATATGAGAAGTCCTGGTATACGTTTACATAAATTAGCTTTATTTGGTTGAGCTGTAATAATAACAGCAGTATTATTATTATTATCTTTACCTGTATTAGCTGGAGGTATAACTATGGTTTTAACTGATAGAAACTTTAATACATCATTCTTTGAAGTAGCAGGTGGAGGAGATCCTATTTTATTCCAACATCTTTTCTGATTCTTCGGTCATCCAGAAGTTTATATTTTAATTATACCAGGTTTCGGTATTATTAGTACAGTTATCGCAGCTGGATCTGGTAAAAATGTATTTGGATATTTAGGTATGGTATATGCTATGATGTCTATTGGTGTTTTAGGATTTATAGTT